TTTGATTTGATTTATTTTACACCATAAAATGGTTACATACATTGGCATTATAACATTTGCTTAAAAGCTTGCTTAGGTAGCAAAGTCAAAATTTAAAAATTCATCAATAGTATAAAATACATTTTGAACAAGGATGTTGTACACTGCTGTGCTAAATTTATTTGCAGGTAAATTTTTTTTTAGAGAGAGAGAGAGAGAGAGAAGTAAGGTTTGAAAATCCAGCAAAATGAAAAGGCCGTTTTGCCGCAAGGCGAAGTGTATTATTATGTTCGCCAGGATGCTAACTGGACTCCGCTGTCGAGCCGAGGGGCAAACACGCCGGGAGAGCGAGAGAGAAAGAGAGAGACAGAGAGAGCTGGAGAAACAAGTGGGAGGGCTAGAGCGACAGAGGGAGAGAGGGAGGGAGGGACGGGATCAATGTATGATTAGGAGAGAGATGCAAACAGCGCCGCGCCACGCGCCGCCCGTCACGTCCACTGGGTCCACAGAACCAATGACTCCAAGACAAACTCTGACTCGATCCCCTCGAGCTGGGGAGGGCAGGGGTGCGGAGCGGAGCGGCGAGGGCTGGGCATGATCGGCGTGCACCACGCCCTCAAGCAGAAACTTCACCGCACTGCACTGCATTTTGTTGCACAACTAGCCAGTTATTTCAGTGAGTGGTGTGTGTGTGTGTGGTAGCAGGAAAAAGTATGGCAACTCGCGTCCATAAACTGAAAGAAAGCTGATGCAAATAACAAAATCAACTGTTATTCAAATACGTAGATAAACATTGAAACGGCATTAAAACGAATCGCGTGAATCGTGGCAAATTGGTTGGTATACTGTGTCACATTCTGCGTTGCGCGGCACGCAGTATTTTGACGAATTTGTCATATCCAAGCAGTGTGACAATTCGCATATATTGAATGCGGGCGTCACAGTGTTTGAGTAACAGTGTCACGTCCAGTCCAGGAGGTCACCGCATCTGCCAAGATGGAACCCAACCAAAGTTCAGCTAGAAGCACAGAGTAGTAAATGAGGGGGGGGGGGGGGGGGGCGTTTAAGTAATCCGTGAATGGTTAAGGAAGCAGATGATTAGCTTAAACCTTGATCCCCGTCGCTACGCGCCCGCATCGCCCGGCCTGGTTGAAGGGGGCAGGCGGGATAGGGGAGGGGATGATGTAATAAAATGATTGGCTAAGAGTGGGCAAGTTGTGGCAAAGAATTTAGGAAGGGGATTGGACTGATGGAACGGAGCGGTTGCGGCGAGGCGAACTGCGCCGAGGTGCGGCCGAGGGTTGAGGTGTGGTGGCCGTGCGCCGGCCGCGGGAACACCGCAGGCTGGGGCGGGGTGGAACAAAGTAGCGCTTATTATTACTTTCTTGCAGAGCGACGGATCAGCGGAACAGAGGGCGGCGGAGAGGGGGGGGGGGATGACACGGTCGAGACCTTTAAGAGCAGAATAAAAAGAGTGGCAAAAGACAAAAGAAAAGAAGCGAAGAAAATCAAAAGAAAAAGAGAAAAAGGAAACCCGGACGAAACAACAGCACTGCCCGGCCGCCCCCGCTCATTATGAGACAATGTGTATCGGAGATCGATTTGATCGAGGGGGATCTTTGAATTCTGCGAAGGGGGAAAAGAAGTTCAAATCAAGGGATTCCGCGTGGACAAACCCTGCCATAAGTCCGACCCAAACCATCACAAGGTATGAGGATACATGGACGCGCGAGCGAGGGAAAAGGGACGGGGTTGGACCGAACCTAGAGACGAGGGAGAAAATGAAATCGGTAGAAACGGAGGAGACCTTAGAGTAAAAGACGGAACGTCGTAAAAGGCTACCCTTGGAAAGCCTTACAGTATACAGCCGCTCTGCCATTCACCGATGAGAAAATAAAGTGTTGTGCGCTGGTGGTAATTTCCCCCACTGCGGACCCCTTCGAAATGTCATCTTGACCTAGCAAGGGCAGAGCACTCCGAAGCCACAGCTGCAGTCCGCATCTTAAGAGGCCTTTATCATCCTATCTATATGTCTCCAGATTTCGTCATCTCCACAAAATCTCCGGGCGGAATATGCAAGACCACCGCCGTGTCCTCCAGTGGTCATCCGTCTGAGTATCCACCGGTGACCAGTGGGTTCCCGATGCGGATCTTGCTTGAGGGGCCTCAGTG